TCTAGTGTTATACACGGATCACGTGTAGCTTGTAAAGAACATATTGAATAAACTAGATGTTTAATAAGATCGTGCCTTAACAGAAGTTATAGAGAGTTTAAGCGTCATCTTCAGGTATACATCACTTTGTCACATGTGTTTAACATGAACTTAAATCTAAGAATATCTGAATTATTTCACAAAGAGCCGTTAATCACTTGCAAAGATTGTGAAGTAGGTCCTTCAAGGTAACATGTAAATTGAATATTTTTCCTGAAGACTCTGCTAGAAGACTTATGAATGGCTCCAACAATAAAGTGAAGATATATCGAAATAAAATGAAAGCATGCCAACTGTATTGTTTGTTAATGTTATATAGATGTTTCCGACGTAAAAGTGACCCTTGCTGGTATAAAGTGTTGAAAAGCCTTTATGTGTGATTTTTTGAACATTAGTTAAACAAACATGTTTTAAATCTGTAATACTTTTTGTAAGATAACTTTCGAATGTAAAGGACTCTAGAAAGTTCAATTATACCAGAGCTACATTCTCAATCTGTAACTAGTTATGTAAGGTAACTATCAACGCGCTAGATCTATACAACAGTTCTACATTTCAATTCTTTAAATGTTATCTAGAAGCATGGTTAACTATTCATAACAAAACACAACACAATGTATATATCGATATAACTACTTCGATATAATTTATTAACGACGTTTCTGAATACATACATGTCACGTTAACTTGAAAACGTGAACTGTGTGTGTTACGAAATGTCATGAAATTGTGTTTAACGTCCTAATGTTCTGCTCCGAAATGGGCTAATGAAGACGGGCATACGCCATACAGTGTGCTATGAAGGAAATTTTGCCCGGACAGCGGCACTACGGACTACTCTCGTATCGAATTCCATCTGTCAAGGGATCGTTTACGTGCACGCCAATGTGTACACGGGACCTTGGGTTTCCGTCCCACCCGAACAACTAGACAACTGTCCTTGTCAGGCCTTCCGGCTTGCATCACTGATAAGGGCGAACCACGCCTGAAAATCTGTATGAACTTTCTCGGCCAATGCAGGGATCGAACACCCGACCTCCAGGCTAGCGAGCCAGCGCTTACCCACTTAGCCACCGTGTGTGTTACGAAACGTCGTTATTAAATTATAGCGAAGCAGTTATATCCATATATACCCTTTTTTGTGTTTTATTATGAATAGGTCTACCTTTCAAAATCTGTAATTACCTATTTAAAATTATAAAATCTGTAATTATATATATTCATTTCGGGTAATTCATCAATGTGGGTACTAGAAAGTTCATAGAAATAAGTTCCACATTTCTAAATCTGTAATTATCTCTTTATAGTTTGTATATCAGTAGTTATCTATTTATAGTTTGTAAATCTGTAATTATCTATTTGTAGTTTGTAAATCTGTAATTATCTATTTATAAATCTGTAATTATCTCTTTATAGTTTGTAAATCAGTAGTTATCTATTTATAATTTATAAATCTGTAATTATCTCTTTATAGTTTGTAAATCAGTAGTTATCTATTTATAATTTGTAAATCTGTAATTATCTCTTTATAGTTTGTAAATCTGTAATTATCTATTTATAGTTTGTAAATCTGTAATTATCTATTTATCAATGTTCTATGTAATATATTCTTATCAAAAGTTTGCTTGAAATCCTCAAACGAAAACTACCACAAACCATAAAGTTCTATTTGAAGCACTCTTGTTTGTAATATGACTTGGTTTAAGAGAAGTCTACTGCTGCTTGTATTTGTCGTTACTCCGTGTAAATTCTTTTTCTGCCTTTCAATCGCTGTCTGCTGTACGTTTAAGTTCCACAATGATCTTACAACCGCTAGTCATGTTGCCAAAAAGTACGACAATACTATATACCGGTAAACAACCGGAAAACACCGGAAAACTACCGGAAAACACCATGTTATACTGAATACCGGAAAACACCGGAAAAACACTAAATACCCGAAAACACACTAAATACCGGAAAACACACTGAAAAGGTAACCCGGAGCCTGGTCCTCTGTGTGCGGAGGTTAGGGTTAGGTTTAGGTTTTTCCGGTATTTTCCGGTATTCAGTATAACATGGTGTTTTCCGGTAGTTTTCCGGTGTTTTCCGGTAGTTTTCCGGTGTTTTCCCGATAGTTTTCCGGTATATAGTATAGCCCAGTAAGTGATGCCCTTACATTTTGGTCATGTGGTTGCCCTAATGGGTGGTATTCAGGGAATCCGTTATCTATCAAATAAGATTGTGTGTCTATAATTTCAGTATATATCGAAATTGCCAAGAGGGGTTCCTAATATTGACCAACTATCCTTAAGGTGGAAATATTATGACCATATTATGGACCAGGAAATGATCATGTTGTTGGATGAAATTCAAAAATGTTATTCACCAAAGCGATTGGGAATCATTCAAAGAAGAATCATGCCAATTTTCATCTCGATCGGAATTGACTGAGTCTTAGGCTTTTTCGAAGAGCGTGGCCCCAATAAGAAGAAGAAGAAGAACAGCGAAATGAATTGCGGTTAGCGACCAGTTTTTGGTACAAAAAGCTTTGTGTATATCTAAAAGACCCTCAAATAACTTGTACAGAAATTCAATTTAACGTCCTACTGTTCTACACCGACCGGGCTAATGAGGATGGGCATACGCCATACAGTGTGCTATGAGGGACATTTTGCCCCGCGGACACTTTGGCCTACTCTTATATCGAATTCCAATTCTGTACTAGTGGTCAGTGTATCATACCATGACCTGTTAATGACTTCAAAGGAAATACGCAGTGCAATTACAGATACCATAATCTGATAAATAAACAATACTATACTATTCAAAAAAAGTAGGGGATATTTGATTTTTAAGTGTTATTAAAGTCACCTAATGAAACTGACGAAGAAACAAATGACAAAATGAAATGAAGTTCACATTCATAGATTCATTCCAAATGATCGTTAGACTAAGTAAGGCACAGACTGACCATTATAAGGGTAAAATGATACCCGGGGTCAAACAGCAAAGTTACCACAGCATCACAACCAAGTCAGTAACGGGTAAATCCTCCTCTGTTTGCCAAACAAGCATTGATCCGACGTGGCATACTCCTAATGAGACGTCTAAGGTCAGTTTGGTCCAGATTGTCCCATTCCTGTTGCAACGCAGCAGCAAGTTCTTGGACATTGGCAGGACGTTGTTAACGTTGACGTAACCTCTGTCCAAGCATGTCCCAGATGAAACGGCGGCCATGACGTCGTGCGAACGGCACAACATGGACTGCCAAGATGTTGTCCCGGTAGTACTGACCTGTAACACGCCTTGCAACAACATGTAAAGCCGTTCTTCCAGCAACAGTGATGCCTCCCAACACCATAACAGAACCACCCCCAAATCGATCATGTCTGATGACGTAAACGTCTTGGAAGCGCTCGTTTCGACGACGCCACACCCTCCTACGTCTGTCCAAAAAATCAACAGTGAACCTTGACTCATCTGAAAACATCACATTGCTCCAGCGTCGATTATCACAGTGTTGACGATCCCTACACCAACGACGTCTTGCCTGAATGTGATGATCTCTCAAACAAGGGATCACGCGAGGACGTCGGGCGCGAAGGTGACCCCTATGCAGTCGATTCCGAATCGTCTGGCCACTCACTCTCACACCAGTGTCTGTTTGAAGACGAGCGCTGATCTGATTTGCTGTGATGACACGATTTCTCAAGGCCAAGGTACGGATAAATCGATCCTGGGCTTGAGTTGTCGCCCTTGGTCGACCTGAGCGTGGTCTGTCCTGTACAGATTGTGTATCACGGTATCTGGACCATAGCCTGCTTATGACAGACTGAGAAACATTCATCGTCCGCGCCACAACCGCCTGTGTTGTGCCGATTTGTAGCATGCCAAGGGCACGTAACCTTTCATTTTGGGTAAGCCGACGCATATCAAAATTTGTTTTCTGGTCACTAAAACAATTAAACTGATGTTTCCACCCTGGAATTCAATGCCACAATGACTGTAACATTCAAAGTCAGAGTCGTGCAAATCTTGGGTTGGACCCCCATGATGATCCCAAGTCAAGTTCCTATATAGTTTAAGTTCCCGTATTGTTGTTGTATGTATGTATCTGTAGCTGTTTTATATACCTGATGTAAATAAATCCTATATTAACTAAACTGATCTCTGTTATCACTAAGACAGTGTTACAGTTTCCGTTGCAAAAACCATTGGTCAACTTTGAAGTTGTTTAACGCACGGGCTGGAATAGCAGAAAAGAACCTTTGCCGAGTTCAATTTTTAAAAAGATGTCGTTGAGAGCGAATTTCCAATACCCACGACGTGGTCCTGTGGACTAAAGGATAGATTTAGTGTTTGGAATTCAAGTTACCTAACAGGAAAATGCGTTCATACGACCGTCAAATTTTCTTAGGGAGGTCCCGACCATCTGTAAATGGGAATTTGTCGGGCATTTCAGGCCCGTCTCGCTAACATTCATCGAGTCCCTACGCCTATGCCTGCACTGTCATGGGTGGACAATGCTAGAAGACTGCCAAGGAATCTTTTACGCAAGTTAGGTAAAAACAAACCCAAACAAACGAATGACTCAAACCATATGTAATTAATGCTATAATTGATTTACAATAATGACGAGGGTGGGGGCGAATGGTTAGCGCGTGCGCGTTGTATCATAAGGTCTATCATTGATTCAGCTGGCGAGGTTTCGATTCTCTGGTTGTACATGACAAGGCGTAGGGTCGCCTGTTCAACCTCCCACTGCTAAAGACCCCTGCGCCGAAACGGATTTTTGAAATAGAATTGAACCATGTGTCGAGTGGACGTTAACCCTCCTCCCTCTCTCTCTCTCTCTCTCTCTCTCTCTCTCAATAATGACAAATAAACGACGACTGACAAACAGTTTTATTTTAAATGTTTAAAAAGTTTTATATTCAAGGTATAGACAATCATTTTCATCTCATACACTGCCCAATCATTTATCCAATAAGAGGTTTTAATGTTCCCCATGTATGTGTAGGTTGGATGGAACCTGGTTTCGCATACTGACAGATATGTAACCTGTGTCGGTTGGCTCCACCATCATCAAAAGGATGAGCCCCTGAGACCGAGTTCTTATTTTTTAATTGTTCTTCCCCCCATGTCATCACATGTTCAGTCACAGCCATACCGTGTACTATTTGACAATTGCGGGTATACCTTAATAAGGTGAAGGGTTTTTCCGTTGGCAGATAAATCGCGTGGGTTGGTAAACTGTCGTCTCTGAAAAAAAAATAGTAATTATAACAATGAGTATTAACGCCATTGTGAACTGGTAAAGTATCCTCTCTGAAAATAGAAGAGAGAGGAATAGGGTTTAATGTCCACTCGACACAAAGCGGGGAATCGAAACCACGCAACCTGACTCAACGACATGCCAGGCGGTGGGGCGTGTCCCCCAGCCTTAAAAAAACAGGTAGCCAAAAACTAAGCTAGACTAGCTCATTTACTAACCACATGAAACTTGTTGTAAAATGTACAGCTTATCCACATGTATCGAGAATCACCGATGCCAGACATTTTCAGTGGGGGGGGGGGGGGTACCCCCGGCAGACCCCCTAATTGCCCCACCCCAAAATCTAAGCTAGACTAGCTCATTTACTAACCGCATGAAACTTGTTGCAAAATGTTTAGCATATCCACATGTATTAAGAATCACCGATGCCAGACATTTGCAGTGGTGAGGTACCCCAGGCAGACACCCCGAATTGCCCCACACCAAAAGCTAAGCTAGACTAGCTCGTTTACTTACCACATGAAACTTGTTGCAAAATGTACAGCATATCCACATGTATCGAGAATCACCGATGGCAGACATTTTCAGTGGTGGGGCATCCCCGCCAGACGCCCCTAATTGCCCTACCCGAAAAGCTAAACTAGACTAGCTCATTTACTAACCGCATGAAATTTTTTGCAAAATGTTCAGCATATTTACATCAAGAATGACCACCGCAACACATCCCTAATTGCCTCCCTCACTCAAATATCTAAGCTAGACTAGCTCATTGACTAACCGCATAAAATTTGTTGCATTATGAATGACCACCGCCAGACTATTTCGGTGGTGGGAGAACCTCGCCAGACATCCCTAATTCCTCATCACCCCCCCCCCTCCAAAAAAAAAGCTAGCTAAATTAGCCCATTTACTGACCGCACGAAAGTTGTTGCAAAATACTATGCTCAGGAACATAACCAGACATATTCAGTTGTGGTTTACACCCGCAAGATGTCCCAAATTGCCCCCACCCCCTCCAAACAATAATGACAACCGAGAACACATAGGACATAAGGTAAGTTTCTTTCTTATCTATACTCTTATGCAGTGTCACATTCATTCCCAACAATGATTGTCTCATCACAGTCACTGTCATGTCTGCATTTGTCTTTTCGAACAAACTGCCTGGCATTGCAACTCCGTTACAGCAGATCGGCAGGCGGTGATCGCCACCCTCCATCCACAATCAGTAGGTGCCAAAAGGTAACTAGCACAAGACGCTGAAGCCCGTTGCCACAACATCGTTTGTAGTTGTCTCTTTGGAGCTTCATTTCAAGACATCTTCTTGATGGAGACAGCAAGGCACAGTCAATCTTCTTGACATTTTCAAGTGTGTTTTCCTGAAATAAATGTTTGGATACATCACTCGGCGAATCAATGTAGACAAACTGACAATAATATTATTGTCAAGCGACTATCCATATACAATATATCTGGTTTTAGTTAAACAGTATTCATTCACACTACAACCTTTTTAAGAAAGGTTATTGTGTTATTTTGAAAATACAGATAGGAATTGAAGAATTTATATTCTAATTGATTTTGCCAGTCATTTGCACGAGTTTTTAGTATTGTGCTTCATCGACATCTCGATACTTGCTCTATTCGTAAATTCGGCAGACTAAAACGGACTCAACATCAAAGTCCACTTTGCCATGAATGTCTCTCAGGTTGATGAACAGGTTGACATAACGTTCAGTCTGGTCGTTCTATATAATGTCAAGTAAAAGCCCTTGACATTATAGAGAAAGACCAGACTGAACGTTATGTCAACCTCTTCATCAACCTTAGAGACATTCATGGCACAGAGCAAGTGTCGAGATGTCGATGAAGCCACGATACCATAAACTCATGCAAAATTCTTCCATGGTTATCTGTATTTTCAAAATAACATAAAACAACCTTTCTCAAATAAGTTGTAGTGTGAATGAATAGTGGTTAGCTAAAACCAGATGTATAGTATATGGATGGTCGCTAGACTATAATATTATCATCAGTTTTTCTACATTGATTCACCAAGTGATTTATGCAAAGTTTTATTTCAGGAGAACCCACTTGGAAATGTCAAGAAGATTGACTGTACCTTGTTGCTTCCATCAAGAACATGTTTTGAAATGAAGCTCCAAAGAGTCAACAACGGGACCATGTTGTGGCAACGGGCTTCAGCGTCTTGTCCTGGTTATGGTTTGGCACCTGCTGATTGTGGATGGAGGATGGTTGACGATCACCACCAGCCCATTGGTTTAGCAGAGCTGCAATACCAGGCAGATGTTCAAAAAGACAGATGCAGTGATGAGACAATCGTTGTTGGGAACGAATGTGACACTGTATCTCTTGATGATTCTGATGATGAACCCTGGACAGAAGACTCCGATTCTGATCCAGAAGACATAAACTAGGCATTCACTGATACAAAGGGCGTCTGACGGGGATACCCCACCACTGAAAATGACTGGGTCAATTCCAGGTAAATGTGTCAAAACATAACCATAAGAGTATAGACATCTGGTCTATAAGCCAACACAAAATATACCTTGAGATAACACAAGTTATGCCATGAGACAACACAAGTTATGCCTTGAGACAACACAAGTCATACCATGAGACAACACAAGTTATGCCATGAGACAACACAAGTTATACCTTGAGACAACACAAGTTATGCCACGAGACAACACAAGTTATACCATGAGACAACACAAGTTATACCTTAAGACAACACAAGTCATACCATGAGACAACACAAGTTATGCCATGAGACAACACAAGTTATGCCTTGAGACAACACAAGTTATACCTTGAGACAACACAAGTTATACCACGAGACAACACAAGTTATACCATGAGACAACACAAGTTATACCTTAAGACAACACAAGTCATACCCTGAGACAACACAAGTTATACCATGAGACAACACAAGTTATACTATGAGACAACACAAATTATCACGAGACAACACAGTTTCTTAAATTTTAGCACAAGTGGTGTTGATTTCTACATATATTATACAGGCCCAGTTCTCTGTTGTAGATAAAATATTCCATTGAAATAACTTACTCTGTGACAGTGCACATTAAACGCCATACCCCTGTCCTGCATCACAGACATCTGGGTCGAACACGGAACCTTCTTGATAGCGAGTCAACGTCCTACTCACATAGCAAGTTCGGCTCCTGGTAGTCAAGGAGTGGTGACTAAGTAAGGAGTAGGGTCACCTGTCCAACTTTGTGGGTTTTCTTCGGGCCCTCAGGCTTCCTCTCACAGCTAAATACCCCTACAAGCAAGCGAATTATTCAAATATATTTGGACCAAATGTTAGTTCCGTAATGACATAGTTTGTGTTTAGTGGACGTTAAGCGTCCGCCTTCCCTCTCTACTTCTGCGTTCGCTGGTTGGAAAACTCGTACAGGAGATATATCTCTTCAATTTAGGCCTAAATCAAAATAAAGTCTCTCTCTCTCTCTCTCTCTCTCTCTCTCTCTCTACTAACCTGCAACAGAAATCTATTCTTGTATCTGCAGTGTATTCGCCATCTGGTAAAGTGCCCGACTTACTATTTGTATTTCCCCCTGTGGTTGGATCATCCCAGTAGATAGAACCTGTATGGAATCCTGTTGGGAAGGTAAATAATATTACAAGTTGTATATATAGTTAATATACTGGATCATTCCAAACAGAAGGAGTCTGCTGAGATAGATACAGCCTATAATACATACTTATGGGAAAACTTGGGCGACGTTTTGAGGATATTTTTTTTGTATTACTGTATTAGCTTGATAAAGTTGAGAGAAGACTCTTCGAAACATCGCCCAACTAGATAAGTAGCTAGCTGTTTTTCCATAAGTACGTGTTGTAGTTTATTGCTCTTATCCAGTTACTACATGCCTCTCAAAGATTACTAATGTAATTGTTTTTTGGTTTATTGACTGAATTCGACTTTAAAGTGATGTAGTTAGGTACATCAAGCATACGTACAACAGATGCATTGTGTAAGATTTAGATAAAGAATTTGCCGTTCTTGCTTAAATAATTCCAATAGAAAATTCAAAATTAATATATATATATATATATTGAAAATTGCATTTAAGTTTTGGCATAGATTGTTTATTAGCAGCTTTACTTGTTAAACGAGACTCAGTCTCGCCTCTCCAATTTAAAATCAAATCATTAAATGGCGATCATACTCTAGTCCGATGATCTAGAGAGTTGATTAAAGGCTTGCCGTGTGAATAAATGTCTAAATAATAATGTATATAACTTTTGAAGCCAAATTAGGAAAATCTGTAGTAGACAGTTATAGGTCTTACATGCATATTTAAATCTGTCTTGAAATCAGTTTTTGTCGGCATACCTTGTATCTTTTCATCGCTTACCGTCAAAGAAAGTAATACTGCTTTACGTGGCTGTACGAATAGTTTTGGATATTTTTAAAGTACTTTTCGCTCATCTGGGGAGCTCTTCGGCTCTATCATATCGTATTTTCTCGCTCATATGACAAATGGGCAATATAAATATAGATGCAGGCGATGTGCTGAGTTTGAAAGGAAGCAGGTTTTGTCATGACCGTATGGCCGTGATATTGAAACGCCATATTGATGAACGCCACACAAGGGATCGATACCACGACCGCAAGCCAGAGTAAACCAGCTAGCTAGAGCTCCAAGCACAACATTTTAGACCACAAGCCCCCTGCCCCGACCCCCTGCCGCCACCCACACTCTGTCCCCACCTCCCTGGTTGTCCATTAAAAAATTACCTCCAGGACAAGCTCCATATTTCAGAATACAATAATTTCCAGCTGGCCAATTAGCATCATATTCAGAGATTTTATTATCTCCCTTCATACAGAACTCTATGGTCACGCTGCGGCCGCCTGAAACAAATTACATGGTTATTTCAAACAACATATCAGTAGCCACCATCCCGTTACAAAATATTAACAAAAATCTCGTTTTGCATGTAGTTGTAGTATTGCTGTGCAGTTGTATAGGTGTGTAGTTGTACTATAGGTGTGTAGTTGTACTATAGGTGTGTAGTTGTACTATAGGTGTATAGTATAGGTGTGTAGTTGTACTATAGGTGTGTAGTTGTACTATAGGTGTGTAGTTGTAATATAGGTGTATAGTATAGGTGTGTAGTTGTACTATAGGTGTGTAGTTGTACTATAGGTGTGTAGTTGTACTATAGGTGTGTAGTTGTAATATAGGTGTATAGTATAGGTGTGTAGTTGTACTATAGGTGTGTAGTTGTAGTATAGGTGTATAGTATAGGTGTGTAGTTGTACTATAGGTGTGTAGTTGTAATATAGGTGTATAGTATAGGTGTGTTATTGTACTATAGGTGTGTGGTTGTAGTATAGGTGTATAGTATAGGTGTGTAGTTGCACTATAGGTGTGTAGTTGTAGTATAGGTGTATAGTATAGGTGTGTAGTTGTACTATAGGTACGTAGTTGTAATATAGGTGTATAGTATAGGTGTGTAGTTGTACTATAGGTACGTAGTTGTAATATAGGTGTATAGTATAGGTGTGTAATTGTAGTATAGATATGTAGTTATATTATAGGTATGTACTATTGTTGTGTAGGTAGTACAGTGTTTAGTATTGCTGTATAAGTTGTACTATAGATGTGTAGTTGTACTATAGGTATGTAGGTATAGGTGTGTAGTTGTACTATAGGTATATAGGTATAGGTGTGTAGTTGTAGTACAGGTGTTTAGGTGTGTAGTATAGGTGTATAGCTGTGTAGCTTTGCAAGACAAATGCACAATGCAATGTCAAAATAATTGTTTGACATCCTTCACGTATACTAAGATCTTTAATAAGATGTTAAAATATAAAATTGTTCAGCTGCGTGTGGAACCCGATTGATTAAGATTACCTGTTATAATATGACTCATGTGACCTTTATGACGGATGCTGTTGTCACCTTGATGCCTCTTTCCGGGATGCCAAGTGACTCTACCGGCAGGGCATCCTGTAATAGCCTTGACGAGTCCATATGTTCCTGCTGGCCATGTGACAGGAATCCGAAGCTGTGGATCTAATACAAGAAAAGAAAGTAATTATGCAAAATAGTAACTGCAGGCAGGAGGACTGCACCACACACAAACAATTACACAAGAACACCTGGCAGACAAGGCACAATGTATACATACACCTCAAACAACCAACGTATATATCAGACCAAGTTCGCAAGCATCCACTGTCCTCTATAATCCCGGGCCTGTAGTGACACAGACTTCACTCAAATCTAAAATACAGGCGAGGATCTAGAGGGGTGAAATTCTACCCCCTCCCTCCCCACGCCCCAGTTCCTCTAGACATAATTTAGGACTTCCGGTCGAAATAGTTGGAAATGGTATATACAGATTTCCACCTATTCAAATTTGCTGGCGTATGCCCACTCCCTGTTGTGCACATTTTGCGCTTTCGGAGAACATTGAAATCCGAAATAATTTCTGTCCTCACCCACCGCCGTAATTTTAGTAAATAATCTAGTGAGTAAATGGCCGTCAAATGTCTGCCTATGCTGGAGCGTAGTATACAGTAAACGTTTCTATTGTTTTAGCATTATTTTTATTATTAATTAAAGAGACATTAGGTAAGATTAAATAAGAGCTAACATTTCTCGCGCTATAATAGTTAAAAAATACATAATGAAAACAGAATATGCTGAAAATTTCAGTCAAATCGCTTCACTCTGAACCGAGATATTAGCGATTCAATTTTAGTCTCGATCGTCATTACTAAGGTTAGTACGATAATAAACAAAGTCTCGATTATCCATATTTAAGTTAAATTATCCACCACAAAATGTATTCAAATCCACTAAATGTCGGAGACTAACGATGGCATCGTAAGTTGTGTAAGGTCTGGATAAGTTAATTAATGTCTAACTGATAATTTAAATGACATTTAAGGCCTAAGGAAAGGCCTAAGGAAAGACCTACAATAGCTCTTGCATAATGCATGTTTAATCACAATGTTTTTTTTATTATAATTCATAATGAACAAAATGTTAGTACGTGTGTAATTACAAAATGTGCTACACTAAAAGGCACGTGGGGTTTTGCCAAAATCCGTAGATCACGATCTAACAACTAACAACAACAAAAAAAAAAAAAAAAAAAAAAATTTAATTAATTTCACCACTAGGCCATCCCAACCGCCCAATTAGCGAAGTAATGACTGTTAAATTTATAGCCTAGATCGTTCATTGTCGTAGAAACGGTACCTGACAACCGTATTATTTTAGGAAGACACACATACAAACTGTGATGTATATTGAATTAATTCAACAGAGCTTTAATCTATATGCATGTTACATTGAGTTAATACCCAATAAATTTAAAGCATAGGACTAACCTGGGTGTGGTGTAAATAGTTTAAATTTAGCATAACCTTTTAAGGCCATTACTAGGTTTCGTTGTTTAAAATGCAAAGAAGACAATGGATGACCACAAGCCTTCGCCACGCCCTGTCCCCACCAATAATTATAATTCAAAGCTTCTGAAATAGTCTTGATGGTAAGACCAATTGGTTCTGGCGATTTAGTGCTTCCGGAATTAAGAGTCGATGATTTTTGTCCAAACTGATGTCGATATGCACTACTTGCTTTAAATTTGTTAAAATTTACTCCGAGTGATGCACCAAAACCCTCGTATGATCCTTCAGCCGAAAATCCAAAGCCTCCCTAAAACAAAATAATCAAGCAAATAGACGAATTAAATTGTAAAACATCTAATAATCCCCACTTCAAGGTCAAATCCAAGCCAATCTGATTAAAACGCAGAACCTGTTTCGTTTCGTTTTATATAGTTCAAAATTTCGTTTTACTTGTTTTTATACACTTTGATCTTGAAGAGTTGTTATATTACCCGCATTCTGGAGGATGTGAGGGGTTCGCCAATGAAACGGCCTGTTACGGCGAGTTTTTGGCGTGAGGTGCACAGAACTCTGGGTAACCCACTAGAAACATCAACGCTGATTGGTTAATCAAGTGTCAGATGTCATAGGGTCAAAGCATGTTGTATGAGCCCAGACGCGACCTTCCAATACAACCGGTCAGATTTTCATTTAGTAGAGGCCACCGAAAGTATAAAAAAACCGAAACGAAATATAGATCTTTATTTTATGATCAGTAGTGGAATACCGCGTTTTATCAGTGAAATAAAAGTGTTATTCCACTGGCTACAAGCGGACAAAGTAGTCCATGTTGTTTTTACCTAAAATGATTGTAAAATCATAAAATAAATAGAACATTTGTCGTTTTGTCGTGAATAACATATTTTATTTCATCTCTAAGCAAGAAAACGTTTATATTTTCACTCATGCTACGCATTCGTGAAAATATAAGTTTTCTTGCTTCTCGATGAAATAAAATATGTTATTCACGACAAAACGACAAATATCCTCTATGTATTGTAATCAGATTGATTCCATGACATTTCTTGTACAATCTGATTAAAATACAGATCTATATTTCGTTTCGGTTTTTTTATACTTTCGATGACCTCCATTGCATTGAGATCCGATCAGTTGTAGTGGGGGGTCGCGTAATGTGTCATACGAACGGCCTTTGACCTTATGATGGCAGACTTTTAATTAACCAAACAGCGTTGATGTTTCTACTGGGATACCCACGGTTCGGTACACTGCACGCCAACCAGAACGCGGGTTATATAACAACTCTTCCAGATCCTAGTGTAGTAGAGACAAGTAAAACGAAATTTTGAACTATAAAAAAACGAAACGGAATAGGATCTGGCCAGTACATTTACATTTAATTCATCAACTCATTTAGCCTATGATACATTTCCGGGCATTAAGGCGACTTAATTTCGCAAAGATGAATGTTAATGAATGATAATTTTTCCCACTATTTAGTTTTTCTCATGTAAAAGAAAACCATATACATGTATTTGGCGCAATATAGTCGAGTAGGAGCTGACGTATACATGCCATACTATTCCATTTCATTCCTTCTTCTATTCCTGTATTCCTTCATTCATTTATTCCTTCCTTCCTTTATTTATTCCTTCATTTATTCATTTCTTCCTTCATTTATTCATTCCTTCCTTCATTTATTTATGCATCAATCACAATTACACGTTAGATCACAAAGTCTGTTATTGAGTCATGTGGCGTGGGTTCGATTCAACGCTGGTACGTGACAAGGATTGGGGTTTTCCGGTTTTCTCCCACAGCCAAAGACCCCTACGCGCATGAGAATTTTTGAAATAGAATTGAACCACATGTTACTTATGTCATAGTTTGTGTCTAGTGGGCGTCAAGCTCTCCCCCCCCCCTCTCTCTCTCTCTCTCTCTCTCTCTCTCTTACTTACACTAGATTGCACGTGTTTGATGAATTCCGACATCGTGGATTGGTACCGGTTGATCACTTTTGTACCAAAGTCAACTTCCGTTATAAAGTGCTGTAAAATAAAATACCATGCTATACGCCTAGGAACAATGGTGGCTTAGCGAGTAAGATGTTGACACGCTAAACTGGACGTCCCGTATTCGATCCCTGTGTTGACCGAGATAGTTCATCGGGATTTTCCGACGTGGTTTCCCCTAGTCAGTGGTGCAGGGCAAAAAACCTGGCAAGAGACAACGTTCGGATTGGATGAAAACCCTAGGTACCTTGTACACGTTTGCATCCACATAACAGAACCCTTGGCAGTTGGAATTCGACATAAGAGTAGACCGTAGCGCCCCTGCCCGGGCACATTAGAGACTTTTGGCAAGTGGAATTTTTCCCATCCGTATAACGTATCCGTATCGTCACGTGATACGTTGCGTTAATTTAGTTTTAGAGTTTTGGCAGATTTTTGCGCCGTC